ATTAGCCGGTAGTTCACTCCCAGCAGGTCCTATGACCACACGTTTTTTTTTTTTTTTTTAGAAAATGCAATTATTATTGACTAATGCAATAATTGGGATTGATAGGGATCCTACAAGCTCTTAAATAGAGATAACACCTACCTGCTACTCTGAGCTGAAAACAGACTACAATTAATTCTGGCTTTGTGATATGCTAAGCAAGTTATCTAATTGCGTTGAATCATGACCAGATGACACAGACAAATTCTGTTTGGCCCACACTCAATTTGACTTGCTGACACATTTCAGACCTTGAAATGAAGGTTGCTTATTTTAATGGCTTCATCAACGGAATTTTAATTAACTGCTGACGACATTTGAGGAAGATGTGACTACAGATGGAAATTAGTAAAGATGTGATAATAAACAACTCAATGCAAATATATTAATTCCATTCTGCCCAACACAAGGATTAACGCTCTGAAAAGAGATTCTGGAAGAGAACATTCTTGATTCCTAATTGCTAAACCACTTTTAATGCTAGATTTCTCTGCCAAGAATGAGCAAAGCAAACTTGATTGTGGCTTATGGAAAGTCTGAAGTTGAGCATTCTCAAGAATGAAAGCTTTTCTGGGTTTATGATATCCCAATAAGAGAGAAACCACATTTTGTATTGTCCAGCATATTAGAATGTGGAGTCCCTGGTGCTCTCTGAGCTTGGTTATTTTCCTGCAGACATGTCATTACCCAACATCTGCAAGAAAATGACCAAGTTCAAAGAGTACCAATGACCTTAAGTTCAACCTGACCTACAAATATTCTCTTCTACTGATATCAGAATGTATTTATTCTTCCAATTTCTCTCTCACTAATATTTAGAAGCAGAACAAAAACAGCCTTAACTGATAAGTACTTGCCACGTTGCTTTTCCTGCCTCTCTGACATCTTGCCAACATCATGGCAATCTGAGTAAAGAATGGGGCAAGCTTCCAATCTGGATTGTCACCTTATAAGGGCAGATCACTTTCTCCATAACTGGAACTGGGAGTCTCACAGTTGTTATGGACCTCATTTCTCTCAGCAATAATGGAATTTCAGCTTAAGTAAAAAATTTATATTCCTTCAGATAGATATTCTCATCTAATCGCTGCATTTCAATTTAATTAATTAATCAACCAGCCCAAAACCTTTCACTGAAAATCATAATAATCCCAGTTGTTACGGCACTGAATAATGTTAACCAAAGGCAATGATTTCTGGATAAATGAACCATCAATATCATTTGATACTTAGAGCACATCACCAGCTTCAGTGAATCTCACAGATTCACAGTGGCTATTCTGCCCTGCAGCTTGTCTATTCTAGAAAATGCTGTTTCTGACAAGAACACACAGCTAGTCCATTTCTTGCAATGTGGATTGATTACAAGACCAAACAATTTGCTTCTCCTTTTCAACCAGCCCCATTAAGAGATATATATCATTAGCAGCAAGAAGCACACATTGAACTGTTGCAAAATTCCTGAAATTTCATACCAGATACCAAGGAACACAAATCCTGCTGCGGCCTTTGAGATCTGAGCTTGCCTTAAGAGCCAAGGTAAGCCAACTTCCCATCATGGATCTGTCAGTTCATTCAAAAGCTGCTTATCTTCACAAGTGCTGTTTGATAATGCCTTGTAAGCTTTGCCCGGGGGCCTATTTTTCAAACACAAGCTTCAGTTAACATTTAGCATGTCCCACCATAATAGAAAAAGGAACTCACAGGTACTACTTATGAAGCCTTTATGATTAATAAAAAATAAAAATCAAAGTACTCATGTTGCTCCTTAGATATGGAATGATTCATTTACCATGTACACTTGCTCTGGCCGATAAAGTAGATTCAAAAGGCAGCCGAATGTAAACTTTATAACCCAGTTAATAAAAACAGAACAGCTCCTCTTGAGTTTCTGCCTAACAATCCATACACTCTTCTCATCCCAAAGCTGCATTTTATACATTCAGTTTGCCTTTTGTTTATCTAGCTCTAAGCTGACTAAAGAAACACAAAATGCTATGGATGAGGCAAAGGACCATTTAGTCCAGCCTTCTGGGTTGCACCTCCTGCCTCCCTAGCAGTTTGAAAGCATGCAAGTGTGAATAAATAAATAGGTACCACTTCAGTGGAAGAGTGTTCCATGCACTTTGGTGTATGGTCATACTTGCCACATGACCATGGAAATGTCTTTGGACAATACTAGCTCCCTCTGCTAAGAACAAAGAAAAGGAAAATGTCTATGGAGATATTCAGTTATCCAGGTCATGGTTGTCCCAAAGATAGTTTTTCAAGAGGCAACTGGACTTTCTGGTTTTTCTTTGAAGACGTTTCGCTTCTCATCCAAGAAGCTTCTTCAGCTCTGAAAAATCTTCTTGGATAAAAAGTGAAACATCTTCAAATAAAAACCAGAAAGTCCAGTTGCCTCTTGAAAAACCACCTTTGGGATAGAAAAGGGAAAGCTTTACCTTTTCTGGGTCACATAGTAGACAATCCTGCCCTTTGGAATGAGCTGCCCCCAGAAATTTGTAAAATCTCTGATCTCTGTGTATTTCGCTGTGCCCTCAAAACCTTGTTGTTCCGCCAGGCTGGGCTATCAAGGTAAAGATTTTAATTGGGTTTTAAAAATGGGATTTTAAATTGAGCCTATCATTTAATAATTTTAATAATTTTAATTTTTTGTCTGTCTTTGTACTTTTAATCAGGCTGTACACCGCCCTGAGTCCTCCAGGAGAAGGGCGGTATAGAAATAAAATCAATCAATATCAATCAATCAATCAATCAATCAATCAGATGAATCTGGAAAGCTCAAAAACATCGACCCTTCTACTCTTTACTTCCCCACAATTGGCCTTTACAGCATATCTATGAGGTCACCATAGAACCATCAAAACCCTGAGGGGGATTAATTTGATTTGCATATCACATTAAATCACACTGTATTTTTCCTTAATATGGTTATTTTGATATGTATATGGACTGCAGTTATCAGATTTTCTTTGGAGATGTTGGTAAAGATTCCTGAATTGATGGTCTCAACAAACTGGAGAGCACTAGATGGGGAAGCACTGTACTAGATCAACCTAAGAAGAACATTGAGTAAATTAGTCAAGTCTTTTTAGAGTAGCCTGCTTCCCTATATTTTTCCGGCTTCCAATTAGTCAGGTACATACTAAGATTTTAAAGATTGCAGTAGGTAAAGGTAAAGGTTCCCCTTGCACATATGTGCTAGTCGTTCCTGACTCTAGGGGGCGGTCCTCATCTCCATTTCTAAGCCGAAGAGCCAGCGCTGTCTGAAGATGTCTCCGTGGTCATGTGGCCGGCATGACTAAATGCCAAAGGTGCACGGAATGCTGTTACCTTCCCACCAAAGGTGGTCCCTATTTTTCTACTTGCATTTTTTTACGTGCTTTCGAACTGCTAGCTTGCTGGGACAAGTCACGGGAGCGCACCCTGTTACGCGGCACTAGGAATTCGAACCGCTGAACTGCTGACCTTTCGATCGACAAGCTCAGCATCTTACCCAATAAGTCCCTTAAGATTGCAGTACCATTGCCAAATAAATGTTGCATCATACAAGCAGTCTTGTTGAAGATTTAGCTTTTTCACTCAAGCAGGATGTCAAATAAAGAGTAGATGGTGACTTTTGGCAAAACCTAGGGTGATTTCATTTGTTTCTGTGCAAACTTCCCCATCGACTGGAAGCTAGAACAAGAAAAAGAGAGCCAACACAGATCTCTGTTGCTGAACTAAACTCATTTGGATGCTACTTTAAGAAATGCTCCAACACTGGAATTTTTTAAGAAGATGTTGGATAACCATTTGTCTGAAGTGGTGTAGGGTTTCCTGCCTGGGCAGGGGGTTGGACTAGAAGACCTCCAAGGTCCCTTCCAACTCTGTTATTCTATTCTATTCTATTCTATTCTATTCTATTCTATTCTATTCTATTCTATTCTATTCTATTCTATTCTATTCTATTCTATTCTATTCTATTCTATTCTATTCTAAATAATTTAAATGTATTATGTCCCTTTTTAACTGGGAGTAAGAGCAGGAACAAGTTTGGGTTTCCATAAGGGGCATGGCTATTGTAAAATATTTATTGCTCACAGTAATCCTAATTTCATACAATATTCTTCTATTAGTGGGGGGTTGGACTAGATGACCTACGAGGTCCCTTCTAACTCTGTTAATCTGTAAAAATATCTGTAAAGCTTTTGTGCCCAAAAATATATATTTTTTTGTCTTTCTTGGACAAAAGAGCACATTTCAAAAGCGCTGAGGTAAGCATACCTGTATCCTTACATAGGATCCAAATATTTTCTTGTAAATAAATATTATGCTTAACACTGACATTTCAAAATACAAGGTTGCCTCTAATTTCTGCCTGCCTTGACTAGAAACTAATTATGGATTTAGGAACCACACACCTCTGTCCTGAATCCTTATGAGATGTAATTTAATATCCCCCATTCTTAACCAAACAATAGGAAGAGATCCAATGCTGGAATAGTAATGAAATCTGTCCATTGACGCCAAACAATTTCTAATACGAAATCTTCATTTGGGCATCCTTCCACGTAAGTCTTAATATCTCTTGGGATGCTCCCCACCCCTGCACCATCAAGACATTCAAAATATAATGGATGCCAAAGAGAAGTTTTTTTTCATACAAACTTCAGTTGAAAGTTTGTAAATGGCAGGCTTTGTAAGCAATTGGCATTATATTTGTACCTTGCCTGTTGCATCTCCATATTGGCTGAACAGGGGAAATACCTTTTGTCCCCCACCTCTGTCCTGCATCCTAGCAAAGTGCAAATTGATTTTACAGATGAGTGAGCCATCTTTTCTACACCACAGCAAAAAAATATCTCTTATCTAACTGCCATCCAGACTGAAAGGCTCCGTGAAAAATAAGGGACAAAAGCAGAGCAATATTGGTTAGCGAAAAAATGGTCCTTCGGAAAAGCACCTGAAGTTCTCACCTGCCGGATCCCCAGATGATAGGTGAGGATGCGGTCCACAGCATCAGGATTCATCTGGGTCCATTCCAGGCTGTAGGCATACACACGGGCTCGGTTCTGCCACAATGGATTGTAGGTGTCATAGTAGAATTCTGGAGCATATGCTTTGCCTACAGGTAATAAAATGTACAAGTATAAGTCAAGAAGGGGAAGTACAGAGAACAACAACCAACATTTTTTCCCCCAGTTCTGTGTTGAATAACTGCCAATATTCTCCCCAGCTGTTCTTACTTTGCCTTTGCCTAAATATCTGAAGCTGATTCTTCATTTCAAATATTCAATAAAAAACCCTGAATATTCACAAAACAATATTCTCTTCCCAATTTTCCTTATGCAACAATATAGAAAAGTCCTGAGTTGGGATGAGGCCAACCGCTTACCAAGTCTATCTTCTGCATCATATGTTGTTCGACCAGATACATTTAGGAATCGCATAACGCAACAACAGAGAATAACCATCTTTTCCCGTTGCTGCTTCCCAGCAGATGATATTTGTCAGCCCTCCCAGACAACAGAGAATAGGAGAAAGGACTAGATGAACTAATTCTACTTTATGGTAAGGGTACACTAACAAAGTACAAAGTACAAACTTCCTGCTGCCACTTTTAAATGCTCTATCCATTAGGGTGGCTCCACAGGTGGGATTCAGAAATTTTAGCAACCGATTCTCTGCCCAGTTACTAGGTGGGCATGGCCATGGTGGGCGTGGCCTACTCGGCCTCCTGCACCATGGGGTGGGGGGCATTTTCACCCTCCCCAGACTCCAGAGGCTTTCCTTGAGCCTCCGGGAAGGCAAAAACAGCCTCCCCCAGGCTCCTGAGACCCTCCAGAGGCTGGAAACGGGCCAATTTTTGGACTTCCGGTACTTCCAGTAGGCCCATTTTTTTGCCCTCCCCAGGCTCCGGAGGCTTTCTTTGAGCCTCTGGGAGACCCTCCGGAGGCCAGAAATGGGCCCATTTCCAGACTTCTGGAACTTCTGGTAGGCCCGTTTTTCACCCTCCCAGAGCCTCCACATGGGCCCTGCACTTACCTGGCATCCAAAATGGGCTGCGTGGAGACTCCTGGGGTGGGCGGGGCAGGGTGGGTGGGGTCAGCCAGTCCTTGCAAGTACCAGTTTTGCAAACCAGATTAAAATTAACATCCAGTTTGCCCGAACCGGTCGAATCTCACTCCTGGGTGGCTGCTTCTTAAGTTTGTTTCTCTGGCCATTAAGCCAGAGGCCTCCAAACTTTTGGGCAGCAGGGCCCGGTTCTGTGGAGAGAGGCTTTTCCATGGACCAGGGGGAGTGTTTTCCCATGCTGTTTAGATCCCACACATGTGCAGATGGGGCTTGGCTCATTTGGCCCAGTTTCTGGCCCACTGCAGACCAGTGCTTGTCCCGGGATTTGAGAACATCTATGTTAAGCCACTAGGCACTCCTGCTTCTCTTTTCCAATTGTTTCCTAAGCAGCATCTCTTTCTCTCATTCTCCAAGGTCACCCGCACTTTCCATTATATATTTAATGTACAAAGCCTGCAACTCAGGAGATAGCAAACAGCCATTCGAACTAGTAGCTATGGGTAGTTTGATCTTTGAATTTGTCCAGTTCCTTTCAAATACCTTCTAAATCTATAAGCCTCACCTTGGCAAATGCCAGTCCATCAAACCAAGGGCAGCAAATCCATGGTAGCACCAAGTAACATCAGACAGTATGCAAAGAATACCAAAAGTTGGATGATCAATAACCTGTGTTTTAAGTTTAGGGATGGTGCTAAAGAAATGACTACATGAAATAATGTTTTGACGGGATGGCAAGAAAACACAGGATATGCATGAGTTGGAAGGTAAATGGCTAGAAAATGTGGTAACAATGGGCAAGTGAGAAGGAGATAGGTATAGGGGGACTTGAAGGGCAATGGGAAGATCTATTACTGAAGCAATGTTCAGAAAAATACAGTTTAAACTCAGTCCAAGAAACAAACTTCAGAAAATGTCTTAGATAGGCCCTCCCTAATTTACACAAAGGGGGTGGAGGGAAAAACATGCAGATTTGAAAAAAATCTATAACTGTAGCTGTTCTAATAAAAATAGTTTTAGACCCATTTAGATTAATTTCGAAATCTACCCTAAAGGGCTGACAATATGGGCTGATAGTCAAGGCAGCTGTCATGATGACAGAAGAGGAAAATAAAAGATGGAAGAAGAAGAAAGAAGGATGGAGGAATATAAGAAAGGGTTATTGGACAATCACATCTATTAATGCCAAATTTCAGTGGCAACATTTGGGGAGGAGGTTCTAAAAGTTGCAGCTAAGCTCTTTATTATTTGTGTATACAATTTTATTAAAAATATTTAAAAAGATATGAAAAGTCAAAACTGCAAAAAAAGGAAAAAGAAAATAGCAAAGAAAAAAGATTCAAAAAAAATGTTTCTGATCTTCTTTAACAACAGTTATAAGTTCATATAACTTATCAGTTATAAGTCAAATTATAAATTTACCTCTTGCTCTGAGGAAGCTTCTTGGATGAGAAGTGAAACGTCTTCAAAGAAAAACAAAAAAAGTGCAGTTTCCTCTTGAAAAAGCACCTTTGGGACAACCATGGCATGGATGACTGAGGATCTCCATAGACACTTTTGCTCTATGGCTACAATATAACTCTCTTTTTTTTCTATATTCTGTCGAATCCTCAGAACCATAAATCATACATTCATTTTTTTTTCTGGTTCACACAAAAAGCCTATAAGAGGTTTCCAGTCAGCAATAAATGTAGAAGTCATGAGTCATGAGTCATGAGTCTTTGCCAGATTTTACACTACATTAATTGCTGCTGGCTAACACAACTTAGTTTATGCGATCAGTACGAATTACGAGTGATAGATTACAGACACATATTGGATGGACCGTTTGGTGAAGAAAATTTGTGAGTTTAAAGGGGATTGGGAATGCATTTTCAAACTTTTACACGGACATTCTCTCTAGATTGATTGATTGTTCTGGTAGGCCTTTTTGACCGAAAAGAAAGCTAAGCGTGTTACCAGTCAATCTGTCATGGTTGCCTCACTATGCAGCCCTGCTAGCAACCAGACAATAGTAAGGGGGGGGGGGGGGGGAGGGAAATTTGGAATGCAAGTGTGCCGACTGGAAGCCTGACATGGACCCAATACCCGAGGTCATCAGCTGGGAACACCCAAGGCAGACAGACCATTACTAAAACAAAGCGAGTGCAAATTACTGGTGGAAATTGGACAATAGGAAGTCCAGGGGGGAGAAAGAGTAAGTTTTCCTATGCTGTTTGCTGTTGTGGTCCACCAGCAGCCTGCGGAGCTGGCAGAGGAGTCAGACAGTGAGGAGGCTGCGGAGGAACATGGGCCAGTCCTGGAATCTGGGGAAGGCACTGAAGGCAGAGATGGGGCCAGGGCCATCTGGGAGTGATGCACGGACTCCGGAGCCCCCAGAGTCGGACAGCAGAGAGGCAGAGGAACTGTTCCTAGTGCACACATTCACAGAGCTGCCAGAAGGCAAGAGCAGCTAAAGCAAAAGGGACAACTCGGAGTAAGGTTAGGAGATGATTGGCCCCTCTCATTAGGCTTAAAAGAGAAACAAAGGCACTTGGGCCTTTTTGCAGGAAAGCAATATTGCTGACTCTGTTTCCAGTTGGCGTCTCTTGTTTGTTTCTGAACTTCGTGGGGCTTTGCCAAGTAAGGCTTTTGGCAGGGTGTCAAAGAAGATAAAGGTTGGTGATAATCCGAAAGGACTTCTTCCGAAGGACTTGTTTTGTAACTAATTGGGACTCAGCTAGGAATGAACGTAATTCTCAGCTGTTACAATAAAATAGGTTTATTTGGGACTAATTGTGTCTGTAATGACTCAGTAAGCCTAGATCACAACATTTGTGTGTGAAATCATTAGAACTGGCTTTTCTACTTTTGTACCCATATGAAATCTTCAGTAAAGTTATACTCTTGGTAAAAGAATGTCCCAGGAGTTTCTTTGGCTGCTGAGTTTCAGGAGCGATAAATGGCTCCATGAAATAGCAAGAGCGCTTAGACGTATGTACCGCTTTACAGCCTTCTCTAAGTGGTTTACAGAGCTAGAATATTGCCCCCAACAATCTGGGTCTTCATGAAACTAGTTGATATCAGATATAAGGGTGGATACCTAAGCTACCTTTATATATATGGACATGAGAACTTTTCTTCTCTTGGGAAACTCTGCCCCTGTTGTGAAAATATCATGGTCATGCTTGGCCTTGAATGGAGACCTACATGGCTATTTGTCAGCATAGGCAGGAGAACTTCAATTGCTATTTGCTTCAGAAGATATCTTATCTCTCTCTGGCATCTCATATTGATGATGAATGTGCAGTCTCCACAGGGCAAGGGAGAAAAAGCATCACATTGCTCAAGTAACGAAGCTGTTACCTGAACTGTCAGGAGAATCAATATGGAACAAAGTTGGTTGTGTTCAACAGAGTAATGCAAATGAAAGGATGTGAGATGGGGTGGGGTGGAGGGAGAGAGAAACCTGCATTTCTCAAAGAACCACGATACATGAAAGTGTTATACTCAACTAGGCAACCCATGCCCCTTTGGGCCATTGTTTCTGATATATTTTCTTACCTAAATAGAGAAACAGAATGATCACAGGCGGGCAAAAAAAGCAGCGGGAGTCGGAGCAACTTCCAACTTATTGCTGGCTTCCACACTGAGTTTCCTTGTGGGAAGCTGACAGCATTGAAAATCCTCCCCCTCCCACATATACATAAGGCCTAGAGTAGACCAATAACAGTCAAGTCTCTGAGTCCATTAGATGTTGGTGAGTATAGAATAGAATATAATTATTTATTGGCCAAGTGTAATTGGACACACAAGGAATTTGACTTCGGTGCATAAATTCTCAGTGTACATAAAAGATGTAAGTGATGAATCATGATCATAGTCATCATAAATACATTCATCATGGATCATAAGATACAACACTTAGTGATAGTCATAAGATACTAAATAAGCAATCAAAACCCAAGTCTACTTGGAATGGTGATTCACATCTCCCCACCTTACAAACGTTTCATTTTATTTCTTTCTACCTCAGATAATGATAATCTTAACATGTACTGTACCTGAACATGT